AAACCTCTAACATCAATTTTTTCTCTGCATTTTCTCGCCAGCCAAACAGATCAGACCAGAAACAAAGCCAAACATCAAACTAAGAGAAATTTCTGCGATCAAACAATTTAACAGCTAAAATCAAAACATCGATCAAAGAAACTTGAAGAAGTAGAGATTCTTACGTTTGATTACTGAAGAGGAGGAAAATGCAGAGCTTCTATACAGCCATTGCTGAAGAAGGAATCAACAAAGCAAGAATTTATGGAGAGAAATGAGAGTAGTTACGGCGAGGATTTAAAGGAGAGAGAACGGTAATTTGTAAGAGGAAGTTATTTTTTTCTGTTTTTGTTTCAGTTAAAAGTGCCGAGAGACTAAAATAGGGAAGGCGGGGAAAGGGAAGGAGAGGAAGAGAAAGAGGGAGGGGAAGGAGGGTGGGTCCATGCTGGTGGTGACACATGGCGAGTGATGAAGAGGTGCTGAGAGAGGGCGCAGAGACTTTGACGGCGAAGGAGGTGGGCCGAGGACTGATGATTGGAAGCCCGTTTTATTCTTTTGTTGTCGTCTTTCGGATTCGTTTTTTTATTTTCCTTGCAGGATTCAACTTAAATTGTTTTGAACACAAGTTCGACGAACAACCGTCCGATTATGGTGCTTTTTATGACGTGGCGTGGTGACGGAGGCCTGCACCGTTTCGAAATAGCCCAATCGTGTGGCGTCTGTAAAATCTGTGTAATTAAATTTTTTTTTAACTTTTTGGCTTAGGAGTATTTATATTATATTTAAATCAATTGATTCAATTCAAATTAATATTAAATTAAATAATTTTATGAAAGTTTAAAATTTTTATTAAAATAAATTTAAAATTTATAAATTTTTTTTATCTTAATTACACAATAGAAGACAATTATCTTCTATCATTTATCTCCTTCCAACCATATGCCATACAATTTAAATTCAAGATTTTTTATTTTCAATGAAAAGATATGACTATTGAAATATTTAAATTATTGATTAAAATTCATAAGATTAGTTGAATGTGAGATTTTAATCTCAAACCGACTAAAATCAATTAGGAAACAAATTAAATTAATAATATAATATTTTTTATTTTTTAAGATAATTATATTTTTTATTTTTTATTTTTTTATTATTATTATTATAATAATCGACGCATACATCAATTTTGAAATATCATAAATTGAGGCTGTTAAAGAAATTTTTTCACTTCGTAGATATTCATGGGAACTTTGTCTTGGTTTTCTAGAGTCAACAACCTCCTATCCTTCAATAATTGCATTGTAACAAATACAAGTTATATTGTTTTTAATCTCATTGTATAACATGTAAAATATTCACTCCAATATTGTCTCATTCTCGCCAAAAACACCAAGCAAAATTATTGATACATGAAATAAGTCATAATATGCCTTCATATGTTTAGCTCCTTATCCAGAGAATGATCTGAGACTTTTGTTATCATTATATTAGAATCATCATCCTCTGAACCAAAATATACCATAAATCATGCCACGAAAGTCATGCTCATGTTCAATGAGTGCATCATTAATGTTTTGATGATATACTGAGGTAAACTGCAGACCATGATTACCGTGCCATTCATTTTGATTTTGAGTATTGCTTCTTCTTCTTCTTTTTTTATTCGTAACTCTGTTCCTGCTCAAAGGGTAATGAACTGTTAAATGCAAACGTGGCGAAAAATGATTATGATTGATGGTAAATTTTCTTATTTATATCTTGTTAGCATTTTGAGCCGAGCATTTTTTTATATATATATATATCTTCATCCGTCTGTTTCAAATTCATTAACATTCGCCATGTCAAATTATTCTGATCTCAACTAAACAAAAATAGGTAATCCGCTTCTAAAATGGAGTTGCTAATTTTTCTTTTATTGGAATAATGCATTCATCCTATAAACAAGTTTGATATTTAGTCATGTATTGGAATGCATAAGTCATCAATTAGTCGAATACTTTATTGAGCCAATGCAAACAATTATCTTTTCGTTATGGTTTTCGTATATTATCTCCAATACCATATTTTTTTAGTCATTATGTGTACTTTCCAAATTTGCCGTTTGATAGTGTCTGTTATTTTGAAGGTTGTTTTTTTTTTTTTTTTATCAGCTATTTTGAAGGTTGTTAACTCCCCTAACACTCCACCTTTTCCCTCATTGGATGATGAGCCACAATCGTCTAACATTGCACCCAAGGGTAGACCTCGTAGTCATCCTATTTTCATATTAGGATCATCAACAGTAGGTTATCATATCAATTTTATCAAATAAAATAATTTTTACTAATATTTTTTTGAAGGTTTTTTTTTTTTACAATATATATCTAAATGTTAATCTCATATCTTAAAAATACTTACCAATATGCAGATGGACAAGAGTTATAGAAGTAGTAGGAGCAGTGGAGTCTAAAGGTCCATTTGGTGCAGCTTTTCAAATACTTCAGTTTTTTAATACTGTTTATGTTTTATAAATTTAAATTTTTTTAAAAAAATTTATATTTTTAAATATTTTTTAACTTTAAAAAAACTCTAAATAATAAAAGATTAAAAGTTTTAAATTCAAATTTTTCATAAATTTTTTTATTTATTTTTTACTTACTTTTTTATTTTTAAAAATAACTTTTAAATTTTTTTTAATAAAAATTTAAATTTATTACACATAAATAATAATAAAAAAAAAAACTCCAACAAACTACATTAAACAAGCCCTAAATCGTTTAAGCCCACGCCCTTGGTTTGTGAACAGCACATTCCAGTCAAGGAGTAGGCCATCATCAGCACTCTGTACCAGTCCATCCCCCCTAGTGTACGATCTACTACTCTAACCCGTACTAGAGCACCACCTGGTGTTTGATCTGCTACTCTAACAAGGAGACCATCTACTCCACCTAGTAAGACCACTAGTTCTACTCCTAGTTCTTCCACGCAAATTCTGGAAGGATGAGCACAGGTATGACCACGTCAGGGTTTTAGAGGAACTTCTCCTGTAAGGACAACTTGAGGGGAAATTTGCATCACCAAAAATTAGGGTATGGCAGTCAAACATCCCTAGATTCTCCTTAGAAGCGCTGCCTAATCTCTGTACTTCTCTGGCCGATAGACCACTATCATAAATGAGGGGTTCCTAGGCCGCTTTTTCTCTCAATCATTCAAATTTTATTGGATATCTCCGAAGGATCAACCACGTCCTTCTAACAGCGTGTGCATTATTTTCCTGTTCTTAATATTCTCTATATAAATTTTTATTATCACATATTATGATGAGTAAATAATATCAATTAATGCATTGAAAAGAGTTTATCATATTTACAGGTAGTAACTGATAACTTTACAGATCAACTAAAACAGAATTTAGATGTTGACACTCCATAACTTTTTAATTGTATATATAAATTTATGATTATCATATTATTTTACATGAATCTCTTATATAAGGGGAATTGCAGAGTTGAATGAAATGGCAGGGTGGTCAGTAGACTCAACACTTACGAATTACCCCCTCATTTCTTCTCTTGTCGCACCTTTGCTGTTGCCCAGTCTACCAAGTTTTTCATCTCCTGGTATCTCTCCATCTCATTTCTGATTTCAGTTTTCTAATTTCTTAAATTATATATGAATCTGGGTTTCCTAAGAGTCTTGAGCTTTCCTAGGTTTGCAGGTACAAAGGAAAACGATGTGATCTCAACCAACTTCTGGGAACTGGTGGAATGCCTTCATCTCATTCTGCAACTCAGTGCTCTTGCTACAGCTGTTGGGTTACAAGAAGGCTTTGGGGCAGCACTTTTTGCAACATCATTGATCTTAGCATGCATTGTATGACTATGACCCCTTATTTCATTACTTTTATTACTTTACCTCTAATTACCTATCAGAAATGTTTTTTTTTTTTTACAACCGATCTGCTCTTAAAAACTTCAGTCATACCTTCATAAGTCATGATGATATTAATCTGAACTGATGTTTTTAAGTACAATACACACTGAAAAATAGTATTCTCATTACTTATTTACTGTTCTTAAATTATTGTACATTTAATGATATACTTCTTAAATTCCTCTCTAATCATACCAATTTAAAAGTTAAGGTTTAAAATTTTTAACTAAGAATTTTGAATTCTTAATTACCGATTGAAGCAACGACTCCTTTTCTAGCAATGAAATTGTCCAAGAGTGAGAAATATTTTTGATGTTAAAGAATTCAAAGACAGGATACGTGTGATGCAACAGGACTGAGACTGCATGCCGGACGCCAGGCAATGGTTAGATTTTTCTACCATTCTTGCCTTTCTCTCGCTCTCTAGCTAGTCTCCCAGCATTCCTTGCTTAGAAGCTTTAGGTGTATGATTGCATGTTTTGTTTCTTTATGCAAAAGAAATGTTTCCTCATCTGGTTTGGTTTTAGACTTGATTTCTGTCATGTATTCATTTGAACTAGTACCTATTCTGCAGGTCCTAAATCAAATTGTTTACGAGTTGCCGGCTTCACATCCTCTTTCTTAGACCAGACCACTGCGTGAACTTCTTGGTCAAACCCCTCCTCAGTTTCTGCTCATTTGCTTAAATCATTGTGAATAATTAATTGGTGCACATGACTAATTGACCCTTTATTTAAATAGTTTGCAGACAAGAATTCTTGAGCTTTTTCTAATATATATCTCAATTCAATTCAGGCTCTTGCCATTTCATTGCTTGGAATTGTTACATCTGTTGTTAGCTATATGATAACCTTGACTAACAGTCGATCTTGTAGCTCATGTTCATCAAAGCATGATTCCATGAGAGCTCTGATCGTTTACTGCCAATTGCTGCGAGAAGAGTTGCAAATTGTAGATATGTGGCCATGACCTGAATCCTGAGATTGTGCTGTCTACAAAACCAACATATTCTTCTATCAAACCAGCTTTTAAACAAGAATCTAAGATTTAATAGAATTGATTGCCAAATCTGATGAAATCAAAATCCACGACGTATACAAAACAATGTTGATGACACCTGGACAAATGCTCAATCCGATCAAAAAATATATACAATTGTTTCTATGAGACTTCCATTCAATTTTAAAACTGCCTTCTATATCCTTGCAAAATCTTATGAAGTGTACTTTTATCATGTCAACCTATCTCTGGATTTGGAAGTTAGGACTTCAGTTCAGTTAGCCACCCCGAGGCTGGGACACACTAGCCAAGCCATAGACCAGGAGGCTTCCTGTCGTATGCATTTCCATAATTCCATATTCAAAAGATAGTAGTTTCCATCTACATTATGTTGGCAAGGTCAAGAGAAAGGAAGCGGAAGAGCCTAATAGAACAATATTATCCCATTTTTATTATAAGAATGCTTAGATCATATAGCAACAATAGATAATTCTAAGGACAAGCGCTAAATTCTTCATATATAGCCATAAGTTGCCTGTATTTCTCTACCATATATCTAAATTTTGAAATGTAAGAAAATTATACCCTAATGAAATTCAAGCTATAGCATGATTCTACCCTGCACCCACCATAAATTCTGTAAAGAATGAAGAATTTTCATGTTGTATTGCTATAATTAATACCAGGGAACCATTAGCAGTACTTACTGACGTGGGTATCCTTCAGATCTGGAAGCAGGAATCTCATGCTACACTTCAAAGACTGTAAAAAGGAATTTCAAGTTGCCTGTACTTAACGTGTGATGTATGTTGTTTGATTATGTTCCTAATATGGTGGCAAAAACCCTCCTTGCCTCTGAAATAGGATCCCCTAAAACACCTGACTTCACACGCCACGCAATGTGCTCAGCAGGCCTGACTAAAATGGCTCCTTTGTTAGTCAACTGACAAGTTTCCCACGATGACAACAACTCAGGTGAACTTTTAACCTCTACAACATCTGTATAGTTCTTCCAAGGTGCCAGTGCTGCCTCACTGCCAGGTTGAACTCTATTAACCGCATCAGCAGGCCATAATACACACACCTTAGTAACAATTTTAAATTCCTCTGCCACCTTGAATGCAGCATGAGCTAAATGATAGGACTCCACTGGTGCTATCATGAGAAGGAACCTCTGTCGACAGACACAAGATGAAGAGTAGAAATAGTCTCCTGCCATAGCATTAACTCATTTATACAAAAGGGAAAAACTAACATGGTTGACAAACAAAAGGAGAAGAAAAAAGACTGGAAAAATACAGAAAAAGCAGAAAAAGTACTTAACCAAGTACATACCTCATTTGTAAACTTCAACAATTCTATTACATTCGTATGAGGCAACCTTCCCCCTGGATCAACACTTGGAATATAATCCCTTTGAGGACCAGTAGGTGCTTCAGGTGCAGTCACAGGACTACCATTATAAGGAACAAGAGCTCCTTTGAGGTATCTAACATTGATGGCATGGATTAAGAAGGCCAATTAAGTACTTCTACATGTTACTTTAAAAGGCTGTTATGAAAACAGAAACCAGGAAAGCTGTTTGGTTCCGTCAAATTTTGTATATTGCAGATTGTAATCATTCTTGGCATGAATGGAATACCTGA